TGATGCAAATGGAGCAGATTAAGAATCTGCGGACCAAGAACACTCAAAGCATGTCGGAACGCATTGGTCACTTGGAAGAGAATCGGCTGGCCAGGAATAAGCACATCGATGGGACTCAGTCGGGGATTCAGGATTACAAAAAGTTGGGTAACGAAGCCTCTCAATCCGCCAGGAAAGAGCTCAGCGGGCAAATGGAGACGGGTATGCTGTGCCTGGACCAAGGCATAGCCAAGTGCTCCATGCTGCAGGTGCACATACAGAATCTCGGCCAAGAGTGTGCCAAGCAAACAGAGGTCAATGTTCTGGCTAGCCGCCTGCACCAGCAGTCGCTCCTGGAAATCTGCCAAAAGAGCGACAAGCAGCAGGAGGAGCTGCAAGGAAAACAGAAAAATCTCCTTGAGGAAACTGCCACCGAGAGGCAGCAGCTCATCACCGAGGACAGGCAGATGTTTAGAGGACATTCCACTTTAGCCAGCGATCTTGTTTTGGAATTGACTCGCCAAACCAATGAGCATGTTGCACTTCAGCGCCAGCAGTTGCAGATCTGCGAGCAGGAGGTGACGCGCTTCCAACAAAGCGAGCTGAAGACATATGCTCCCACTGGGACCACGCCCTCCAAGCGTGACTTTGTGTATCCAAGATCGCTGGTGGCCACGTCGCCGCATCAAGATATCGTAAGGCGATATCGCCAGGAGCAGGATTGGTCTGACTTGGACACAACGGCCACCATAGATGAGGTAACTAATGAGCTAACAAAATAGTTTAAAATATTTAATGTATTTTTCCAACAGTGCAGCGAGGGCGAGGATGATGCTTCTTCCCTGCACTCGGTTCAGGAGCTCTCCGAAACGGAAACCATTATGAACTCCACGCCCATTGAAGGCGTGGATAACATCAATAGGAAACGTGGCACTACCAGAAACTCAAATTCGAATTCAAATGCCTTGAAGCCACCGGTGGCTGGCGGAGGAAGCACTGGCAAGCGCAGTAGCTCTTTGTCTCGCTCTTTAACGCCCAGCAAATCGTCACCAAGGAATTCGCCCGCCTTCAACAGGGTAAGTCAAGGGAAGAGATTTCCGCTAAACGCTGGACAAACAGCTCCCGCTGATGATTTATATTTATATTCCTTTTATTTACCATATTCCCAGAATAACAAAGAAAACGTGGCCTGATTGCATCGATGTCCCCCCACCGTACTCATCCCAGTAACTTGAATCGTTTTTGTTTGTTTGGCTCTTTTCGATATTCTTTTTATTTTTAATCTGTATATCAAACTTTGGAATTTCGTACAATTATTATTTAAATAAACTTAGTATGCTATGTAAAGTTAGCAAGAGCTTTTAAGACTTGAGTTCAAGGTCGCCAGTTCAAGTTTAACTTACAGATAAGTTCAAGTTTTAATATTTAAAGAGGGTTCCATTCAAGGGGAAAGGAAATATTAGTAGAACTTGTATAAATAACGTTAAGGAGCCTCTACAAAAAATAACTAAACTTTAAGTTTAATATTTAAATAATTTTCCACTCCTTCATTCGTGTTCTTTATGACTCCAATTCAATTTATTTGTAATCCTAAATGATTTTTTAGGGTAAAAGTAGAAGCAATCTTGTTTATTTATGTAAAATGTAGTGACCAAAAGTGTCAAGTACTTATTCCTCATCGTGCTCGTCGTCATCGTCCTTGAGAATGCCCAGGCGACGAGCCACCTCCTTGACATTGGCTATGAACTCCTCCTGAACAAGATTGAAGCTCATGGCCAGCAGGGCAATGCCAAACAGCAGATACAAAGAACAGTAGGCAATGGACTGCTCTGATTCATCCTTGACTCCCTTGGCAGGAACAAAGTCTCCAAAGCCTGTAAAAAAATTAAATTAAATCATCAACAAAAGAAATTTAAGCCACAACTCCTCACCAATTGTTGTCAGTGTAATAAAGCAGAAATATGCAGAGTCCAAGAAGGACCAATTCTCCCAGTAAGCAAACAAGACAGCTCCACCAAGAATGTAGCTGACCACCAGAAAGACGCACAACCAAATGGGCACAGGACGGTCCTTGGGCAGCAAATCGCCATAGTCTCCATACTCATCCCCATACATAGAGTCGTCGTCATCATAGTCATAGCTGGGTCTTCGACGGATTTGCCGCTGTACAGGAAAACCCATGGGAGACATGATCCTAGGTGAGGGAGGCAGACGTTCGCTTCGCTCTCTACGTCGATTTCTTCTCGGTTCGCGGCTTCTGGAGCGACGACGTTCCACGGGATAATCCTCGTAGTGGTCTCCATAAAGCGACCCCTCATCGAAGCTCTCTTCTACATACTCCTCGTATCGTCCTTGCGAGTGGCCACGTCGATCCCTGCGATGATCCCGTCCCGCATCATAGTCCGGCAGTTCCAGATGATTGCCATAACGCGAGGACTGCCTACCCAGACTGCCAGCCCTCCTGCCATTGTTCTGACGATGGGAACTGTGCGGCGGTGGTTGCGGGGATCTCTCCCTCTCTCGATCCCTCTGGCGTTGTCGTTGGTGAGCGGATCTGGGCATGGATTGGCTCCTTGGTGCTGCATGCCTTCTATGGCCGCCTCCGCCAAAGTCGTCCAAGGCGTATCGGTTTGGAATAATGGGAGTTTTCCTCACCACATCCTCATCCACATCTTCGTAGTGCGAGGACACGTGCCTGGGATCCACGGACTTGGCTCTACTTCTCCCAGGAGCCGAGTGGAGGCGATGAAGCTCTCTGGAAGCCTTCGAGGATTCCTGATTATGCGGAGATCGAACCGAACGGACACTGGCAGCTCTCTTGGCTGGCGGTGCAATGTCGCTAAAGTCCTCGATGGAGCCGGCATCCAAGTGGGATCGGGAGTACCGCTCCCTTTCCACCGTATGCCTGTCTCGCATCCGATCCCGCTGCCTCTGCCGGCTGCTGTAGCGATTTGAGCGATTCAGAGTCTGGGTCTCGTACTCATCCCCGTAAATGGTGTGCCGCTGGCGAGGATCGTGGTGCGAGTGCTGATGCTGCTGCTGCTGATGTCGACGGTTGCGTCCGCCACTTGAGCGGTGTCCAAACTCTCGATCGTCGTAGCCCCTGCCCATTGTCCGCAGTTCCGGGTCGGAGTAGGCATGTCCCATGGATGGCCCTAGCCCGGAGTCATTGCCCGAGCGTTGGGTCATCTTCATGGAGCGACGAAAAGAGGGTGGCGGCTGAGAGCGGGCATTGCGTTGGGAGCGCATGGAACGTTGACGGGAGCGGGCATTCCTTGGTCTCTTGGCGGTACGGGTGCAGACATAGCAGCAGATGCGCCAGTATAAAAACCTGGTGAGTATCAAATAGGATTTATCAGAAAACTAATAAATAAATATTCTAAAATATATAATAGCTTCAAAACTCACCGAAATGATGTGGCCATGACATCTCCAATGTTGGACAGGCAGATCAGCATCAGTGGAATGCCCACGATGGCGTAGAAAATCGTTGTCACCTTGCCCCAATCCGTGCGCGGCGATATGTGGCCATAGCCTGTCCAGAATATGACGGGGAAATAATTAATGGATGCGACTTCCAACGGTGAGTTTGATTTCAAGTCATGCCCCTACTTTTACCTTCAACCTTGTGACCGCCAAGTTCTTTAAATGCTAATGGGTCTAAAACCCGCTAAGGCTTAATCTATCTGCACTTCTTTTTGTACAATACAAGCCAAGCCCATTATCGCTTCGAACAAAATAATAGAAAACAAAAACAAACAATTACCAAGTTGGTATTTCAAGTCTGCCGCTTTTGGCGTTTGAGGAAGTGTGCAAATTCATAGATAGCAGTCTTAGCCCCGCTTCGCAGAGTTCTATCTGATGGGCGTAGTCGGTCACTAAACCCATTTGTATTTAAGCCATAAATCCATATCGGGGAGAGAGAGCAAAAAACTAAGCTCCCATCATCATCAGAAAAATGAATCAAATAAGCGACTAAAAAGAATATTAAGAAGCGAATGGTGATGGGTTAAATGCCCTAACTTAGTTATGAAATTTAGTCATAGAACAATTTATGCACTGAAAAATATAGAGGGTTCTAAAGGAGATCATTAGATATATTATTTATCGACTCGTCTCTTCATGCTGTTCAAGAATATTTAGGATTTAGCCCGTCGAAAAAACGTCTTACTAAAATTATAATATCCTACAAACATATGAAATTATTCTTTGATTTCTTATTAAGTAATCCTTTTGTCGCAAACCTTAGCTTAGCCCACCTAACCCTATGCCAGGGTATACTTTTATAAATCACAAAAAAAAATCCCACCATTAAATCTAAATCTAAAACGTCAGAAAAGATAATCACGATCGGTCAGTGGCGTTTGACCTTGCTGTTGTTTTGACCACAAACAATTGGCTGGCAGCGATGCCACTTTCGGTTTCAATTGACACGCTCCACACCCTCGCCCCAGCAACGCCACCCAACTGAACCCATTTTTAGAGGTCATTCACGTGTCGTGTGCTTAACTAACTGTGTCCGAACTGGATTTTTGACCTATGACTTCTGCCCTGCAATCGATGGTTTTTCCAGCAACTCATGGTAATTTCCAGGAATGGGTTTTCTGGGTCGACTAATGAGCAATTACCATTACCAAATGATCGATTCGCGACCGAGATTTATGCGATTTCAACGTGACCATTGGGTGGACAGAATCAACTGTCCGAATCATCCGCTTGCCTCATTGGTTCCTGGGCGGCTCATGCTACTCTCTGCCTCGGCCTGGTCGCGCTTCAAGTGAATCAGCCGATACGTGGGCCCAAGATCTCAGCAGCGTCTGGCACGATCGTCTGCCCCATGCCATGTTTGCGTTGATTCATTGGTAGCGGAGGGCGGCAGTCGCCAATCCCCACCTGTGGCTGCCCTCGTCGCTTGACTGACTTTGTGCGGCGTCATCATCGCCGGCGATGTCTGCTGTCTGTTGGCTGGGCTTTTTGTCGGTTCGTTCTCGTGTGCGGTTATATAAGTAGCGTGCGTCGCTCGCAAATCCGAAGTATTCTGTTGCGGGAGCTTGCTGCGACCAAGCGCAAAATACGGGTCAGTGTGTGATCGAAGAAGTGGGACAAAGGCAAAGTCAGAGACAAAGACAAAGACCAAGATAAGCTCATCATCATGGAACGCTATTGCCTCATCATAGGCTTGTGTCTCCTTGGACTAGCGGCGGCCAAGTCGGCGGAGGGAGATCATGACCATTGGGTCTGGCGTTCCTACAATCGCAGGGAGCGCTCCTTCCGGGACATCGACAGGAGTTCGCCCATCAGGAATTCCTACGACAACAAGCTAAGACGCGAGCCGACCACCCGTCGACCTCTTCCAGGGGAGCCGGAGAACGATGAGATCGAGGATTATGCAGATGTGGAGCCCACCAGGTCAGCGGACAGTCCCACTGTGGGCACTCGCCAGTACAATCCATACGGCGGTCAGGCCAATGCCGGCCAGTTTGGAGGAATTGGTGGAGGCTACGGCGGAAGTCCTGGAGTTTTAGTGGGTCCTGGAGGACCCACAGGAATCATAGGAAGACCTCCTCTGTACCCTAGTCCTTATCAGCCTGGCTATGGCGGTTTCACTGGAGCACAGAATGGCATTGGAGGATATCCAGGTGGTTATGGAGGAGTTGGACAATCGATTCCAGGTGCTGGCTTTCCAGGAGCGAATGTGGGAACCGGTTTCAACAGCTATCCCGGCAACGGATTGGGCTTGACTCAATTCCCCAGCACTGGACAGTATCCTTATGGATCCTATCCTGGAGGTGACTTCAGTGGCAATCAGTTTGCAGCCCCAGGTGGACAATTTCCTGGACTGGGACAGTATCCCAGCAATCCGCAGTTTGGCGGGCCACAGTACACTGAAGGTTACGGCTTGGCTGGAGGTTCGAGTCTAGGTCAACTGGGACTTGGTGGAAATGGAGGTTTTGGTTATGGCGGAAATTTCCCACCTGTGGGAGGCTTTGGCTACGATGAGAAATCTCCAGCAGTGGCCGAGGGCAAGAGCGCCAAGAGTGTGGCAGCATCACCCAGGACGGTGAACGATAAGATCACCAAGAAGGTCTAGGATTACGATCTTTCATACGAGATCTGCAACAAAGAATCTCCTGTGCCTGCCTGGCTCCTTCCTATTAAAACACTTCCACCCCCTCTCAGCTGTACATAGTTCCCTTAGCTTAGGCATAGTTTAGGCTTATTGTTAGACTAAGCAAATAAATCCCAATTTTTATCCTGGTTGTAAATTTTACTAATTAATGGTCTCTATTTTACTTACCTATAGTTGTTATCACTATTATAGAGTAAAACAGAGAGCCAGCAAAGGTCCATTGGGACTTGCGCAGGTCCTCGTCGCCATCCCAGCCATCGGCTTTAATGGCCGTCAGGATCTGCTTCTCGAAGTTGGCCAGATGTTTGCTCACGTTGGCCATCCAGTCGCTTTCCCGCAGGACCACAGCGTCATCTGACAGCAGCCAAATGTTCTCTGTGAGATTAAATCGAAGATGCTGGATATCGCGCTTGACCTGTAGAGAAATTTAAAAGGTTTCAGAAATGAGTTTCCTTTACTAGGTAACCAAACTCACCTCCAGTTCATGGGGCTTTTCGAGATGCTGGAATAGGTAGGCTCCGCCCACGCAATAGGAAACTACGAGGAGCACGAGCAGCACATGGGACACGATGCAGGTGAGCACCTTCCACGAGAAACAGATGGCAGCCACACAGCGTCCCCGTTCTGGCTTTGCTGGTTCCATCATGTGCGCCGGCAGCGACTGTGCCCGCCTACTCGACATGGTTGCCCAGCGCTTCTCTTCTTCCGTTGGCTAATTTACCGCTCGGCTGGTTGTAAATTATGAAATGCAAAAGAAACTAAATAAAGGACAAGACCGGGAAGACAAGGGTCGAAGCCTTAAATACCCTGGGAAATTACTTGGATAAATGGTAAATTATGCAACAACTGAGGGTTGTTTTGAACAATATGGTGTTCTTGGAACGAAACTTTACTAGGAAGTTTGGTATTCCTTTAATCAATGCACACTAATGGATAACAGTTCAGAGAAAAGTGGCATTATTAATTAAAAAAAAAAAACATTAATTGCTCTCCCATAACGAAACCTACTTAATTGAGTCTGATTTTCTTGGTTCTTGTGATCTCCAAAGGAGCCACAAGAGTTTACTGGGAAGCCGAAAGGTAAACCAGAAACACAGGTCTGTGGCACACATGTTTATTTGTTCAAATATTTATTTATTTGGGTTGCTGGGGCAAGGCCGATCGATGAAACGAGGGGGGAAGGCTGGGCGAGAGACTCCATGAGACTATTTTGGTACCGTTTTGCCCGTTGCCCGGCGGGGGCATTCATCTCATCGTCAAAATCGGACGCCGTAGACCCGTGCCACGCCTGCCGAGAACTCTTCTAGCTTTTCGCTTATACAGAGACTAGGGAGACTACATAACATGTCCGAGCAATTATGAACTTCGATTTCGTTGGGGCAATTAACGCTGCCGATTTATGGGGCCCATGAGATGGGTAATGAGTTTGGAAATGCTTCTAATGTGATGATTACCGAGCAGGGATCGCACTTTGATTTGCACTGGGGAAATTATTCAGTTTTCCAATTTAAGTTCCATGCTGAGTATCCGTTCCCCCTCCGATCCGATTTGATCCGCACAGAGATCCGACACACACCGATCCGTACGACCCACAAACGCTGACTGAGCACAGCTACACAAATGGACTCTCCACGGATCTCTCGGGAAAACGATTTATTTTTGGTCTTACGCGAAGTTCTCTTGTCTTCCGAGGTATATAGTTTTTGGAAAAACTTTTATTATTAAGGCTTTGCTCTTATTATACGTTTTGTTTTGTTCTCAAAAACATCTCAATTTGTGTTTGTTTATGCCGGATTTTCGCTTTTCAACAGCTGATACAGGTGGTCTCTCGTTATATTTGATTTTACTCTTTTGAAAATAAAGCTTTAGTAAATTTCTGAATTGTTTGAATCTTATATTGTAAAAGTATTTTATTAAATTCATAAAGCTTTAAAATTTTAGTTTCAGTTTTTTATTTGTTTTTTACTCCTTTGTTCTGATTATCATTTATTATTATTTTTATCTTATCAAAAACCGATTAGAGGTACAAAGCCCTCGGCTACTTGAGTTCCTAAACTTTGTAAGCTAAGATAAGAGCTGCAGTTGAGACTATTTTTAGGTGTTCCTTAGTCAACATTAAGTTGCCGGAAGGAGCCCTGCAGTCCAAAGAGGCTCTCAAAATCGACGGGCTGTCCCACTCGTAGGCTCTCGTCGGTGCCATAGTTGTTCTCCTCCTCCCAGTAGCTTCTATGGTCTAGAATACGCTGCTCCCACTCCTTTAGGAGCTCAGGAATCGAACCGTTTTCTCCACCATACTCAACGGGCAGATATTTCTTGGGAATTTGCTTATAGAGTGCTTCCCATTTGCTTCCATGGACATAGAGCTGCGGGTTAAAAAAATTAGTTATAAACCTTAGTTCTTTCAACAAACAACTTTCACTTACGCGACCCTGCTGTTTCTTGGACATCATGGGCTTGATCATGTTGAAGATCGTCTCAAAACCGTTGGGTGTATTGATAAAATGAATGCCCTGGGGTCGCAGGGGCAGGGCCTCCTCCTGGAAGACCGTCATCTTCTTGGCAAACGAAGGTGTCATTTGCAAAAAGTGGCCGGTGGTAACATTGGCCAGATCCAATATGGATATCATGCCATTCACAATGGCCACATCGTCCTCGTCGAGCATGATTTGCTGCATAAGAGCACTGGCTCGGTTTACCTCCTGAAATGTGTACTTATCGGGATCATAAGCGGCCATGCGGATCAAAGCAAGACGTGGCCCATTATCGTTCAGTGGACGTGGCAGTAGAATAATGGTACTATAAGAGGATTCGGATATTTAAAAAGGATTGTCAGCTACTTTCTACTTACCCCAGCTTAAAGATCTCCAGAGTCTTGTCCACGTCCATATTGTGTCCGCCATAATACTCGGGATACTTGGTGCGCAGCGTGTAGAACCTGTCGATCTTGGCCTTGGTCCTTTCCAAACTAAACTTGCATCCACGCAGGAAGTTTACCAAAAACTGATCCTCAGTGCGAGCCTTCAGGTGAGGCTGCTGCCTTATCCACTCCCGCAGAGCGGCAATGTCGTCATCGAGCTTGCTGGGCACCTCGTTCAGCTTCTCGATGGCGTTCTTCTGGAGCTCAGGACTCAGCGGGCGGATGGACGGCATCGTGAGGTTGGAATCTCCTTGGCGGTCTGCGAACGAATGTCGATTTTTGACCCTGCCATTTGTGCAACTCAAGTTGGAATCGACGATAAGCTATCGTCTGAGCACTGATAACCATGTATTGAAATAGTCGCCAAGAAGAACACCCAGCAAAGCTTATCGAAGCATTTATTAGTTTATAGCCCAGCGCAAGTTACAGGTTTGTGAATCGAATCAGTCGATGATCAACTGGCGGAAGGAGCCATCCATTCCGAAGTGACTCTCTTTCTGGCCAAGGTTTGTGGGCTCCTCGCGCAACTTCTCGTTGGTGCCAAAGTGCTGGGACTCCTCGAAATAGCTCCGATAGCTAGCCAGTTTGGCCTCCATATTATCGGTTATATCCCGAATGGTTCCCTTGGTGCCTCCATACTCTGCGGGCAGATATTTCTTGGGAACGGACTCAAAGATGGCCTCGGGATCGGAGCTGACTGACACCTGCAATGAATATTGAGTTGTAAAACCTTCCTTGAGGACTGAAAGTGCCTTACCCTCTCCTTGATCTTTGCCGGAAACCAACCCAGCAGCGACTTGAAGCCCGTCTCGAAGGCCTTGGGCGCATTGATAAAATGGATGCCCCTCTGCCGCGTGGGCATAGCCTCGTCGGCATAGGCCGAGAACTTGCTCAAAAGTTGAGGCTGAAGGGCAAACAGATTCGCACCCGTCACGCCACTCATGTCCATGATCTCCAGGTAGCCACTGACCGAGGCATTGTCATCCTCCAGCATCATGATCTCACCAAACATGGAGCCCACTCGAATGATGTCCTGAAACTTGAATTTACTCAAGTCGTAGGAGCAGGCCCGAATGATGGTCACAGCTGGGCCAGTGTCGTCTTTGTCCAGGGGAATGCGCAAGATGACTCTGTGGGAAATCACAAATTAAATATAGCTTCAAAGATTTTGGAAATTCCAAGTTTCTACCCCATGCGAATAATCTCCAGCACTTGAGGATCATCGGCCAAACGATGCTCATTGAAAATCTCAGGAATGACGGCCTGCAAGCTGTAGAATCGATCGATCTTTTGCTTGGCCTTCTCCAGACTAAACTTGGAGCCGCGCAGAAAGCTGAGCAGGAATTGATCCGCCACGCAGGAGCAGAGATGAGGCTGCCTTTGCAGCCACTCTCGTAAGGCGGCAATGTCGGATTCCACACGACTAGGAACCTCGTTCAGCTCCTCGATGGCCACCTTCTGCAGGCCCGCCGGCAGAGGACGCACTGGATTGGGGGAAACTTTACTCATGCTGGCAGCACTATCAAATGCAGACTGACCAAAATATTGAGCACTTAAAGCCGCCAATGCAATTGGTCGACACTCGAATATAATATTCAAAGCAACTGCCGATAAGATCCGACTAATCTGGCTAGCGATTAGCCGGGTAATGGTTTAGGTTTTTATACCCTTGCAGGGTATTATAATCTTAGTAAAAGCTTGCAAAGCAGTAGAGGATTCATTTCCAACCCACAAAATCATATATATTCTTGATCAGCATTAACAGGCAAGTCTTTCTAGACTTTATAAAGATTGTAAATGCAGTAGCAATATTATTAGCCTTCAAAAAATCGATTTAATTACGGATATTGATCCATTTGCAAATTGCAAGGGTATACCAACTTTGGCTTGTCGAAGTTAGCTATTTATACCCTTGCAGGGTATTATAATTTCAGTCAGAAGTTTGCAACGCTGTGATGGAGACCTTTCCCACCCTATAAAGTAATTTTATATAATTTTAGGATTGTCAGAGATGAAGCTGGAGGAGCGAGCAGATGGCTGGACAGACCTCAACCGGATGGCAGTGGAGGACGGTGATCGGATCTTGGCTCCGGGCTATATGAAAGCGTGCAGAAGGTGTAAATAATTAAAATATTTATAAATACAATTTAAATATGTAAATTTAATTGATGGAACACACAAATATGAATCAATAAAAGATGGTGAATTCAATGTGCAATTGTTTGATGAAGGCGGCATTTATTTGGGATCGTTTGGGGAAAAATCTAATTATTTTGAAAGCCAAATCTAAATTTTTAATTTTTTTCTGAATTTTAAACATTTTTTTCGGATGTTTTACAATTTTTCTAAATTAAAATTTTTTTTTCTAAATACTTAAAACTTTTCTGAATTCTTAAAATTTTGCCTGAATTTTTTAATTTTTTTCATTTTTTTTATATTTTTTTAGAATTTTTTTTAGAATTTGTTACATTTTTTTAAATGTAACTGCCAAATTTGAATTTGAATTTAACTGTCAAATTTGAATTTAACGACGATCAGTTTCAGTGTGCCCAGGTGCAGTTGTAAAATAATACCTAAATATAGATTCAAAGGATTTGAGTCTCCGCTAACTTGCGCCGGCTCCTAAATGGTTTGAAACTTGGACTTTTTATAACAGTTTATAACAGTTTTCAGTCGCTTGCTGCTGATTTCTGTTCGCCTGGTACCCCAATTTGGGAAACGGGCAATTTGCATGGAAATGTTCGGAAATTTGGATGGGCTGCTGTAGGGATGTTGTTGTAAAAAGGTTGTTGTTGCCATAAGCTGTTGTTGTCGGCAACAAATAGGTATAAATGCATAAAATGAAATATAACAGTTTATGCCAATGATTATTTTTGCCCAAATGTTTTTATAACAGTTTATACCAGTTTTCAGTTGCTTGCTGCTGGTTTCTGTTCGCCTGTTACCTCAGTTTGGAAAGCGGCCAATTTGAATGAAAAGTTTTGCTCACTTCCATCAGTGATGCTCACTTCCATCAGTGATGATCACTTCCATCAGTGATGCTCACTTCCATCAGTGATGCTCACTTCCATCAGTGATGATCACTTCCATCAGTGATGCTCACTTCCATCAGTGATGCTCACTTCCATCAGTGATGCTCACTTCCATCAGTGATGCTCACTTCCATCAGTGATGATCACTTCCATCAGTGATGCTCACTTCCATCAGTGATGCTCACTTCCATCAGTGATGCTCACTACCAACAGTGATGCTCACTTCCATCAGTGATGCTCACTTCCATCAGTGATGCTCATCACTGGCAGCTAGTGAGATGCAATTTTCTACCAATAATGCAAAAAAATAGCTAGATGAGCATCACTGATGCACATGCGCATCACTGACATTAAGCCCGACTTTATTGACCTCCAATATTGAAATATAGCCAGATGAGCATCACTGATGCAGATGAGCATCACTGATGCAGATGAGCATCACTCATGCAAGTGAGCAAAAATTTCCATTCAATTTGGCCGTTGCCCAAACTGGGGTAACAGGCGAACAGAAACCAGCAGCAAGCAACTGAAAACTGGTATAAACTGTTCTAAAAACATTTGGGCAAAAATAATCATTGGTATAAACTGTTATATTTCATTTTATGCATTTATACCTATTTGTTGCCGACAACAACAGCTTATGGCAACAACAACCTTTTTGACAACAACATCCCTAAGCAGCCCATCCAAATTTCCGAACATTTCCATGCAAATTGCCCGTTTCCCAAATTGGGGTACCAGGCGAACAGAAATCAGCAGCAAGCGACTGAAAACTGTTATAAACTGTTATAAAAAGTCCAAGTTTCAAACCATTTAGGAGCCGGCGCAAGTTAGCGGAGACTCAAACCCTCTGAGTCTATATTTAGGTATTATTTTACAACTGCACCTGGGCACACTGAAACTGATCGTCGTTAAATTCAAATTTGACAGTTAAATTCAAATTCAAATTTGGCAGTTACATTTAAAAAAATGTAACAAATTCTAAAAAAAAAATTATAAAAAATATAAAAAATCTGAAAAAATTTTAAAAATGACTCCTTCACTGGGAAATCAACTTCTAACTGAAAGTATGCTCTTAAAAAATAAGCAATAAAATATAAATTTTATAAAAATCGGACAACTATATCATATAGCTGCCATAGAAGCGATCGGTAGATGTTGAGAAAATGTAAAGCTAGGAATGTAACTGTAACTATCAAACTGTAAACATAATAAGTATAGTTAAAATGTAATAAAATAATATCTGCAAGGGTATACAAACTTCGGCGTGCCGAAGTTAGCTTCCTTTCTTGTTTTTCTTTAAAGAAGATCAGGAGAACATGACTAACAAACAATTGAGGTCTGAATTTAAAGAATATGGATCTATAGATCTTGAGATCTAAACACTCAACTAATTTGTCTTGAGAATTTAAAGATCCCGTCCTGAAGTTTATTTTGTATATCGTTTTATATTTTATAATTGAAGCTTTTTAAATTACAATAAGTCTGGCTTTTTCTTATATCATATAAGACCGAAGTATCACTGATAATTATCAGTTTCCGGCAAGACAACTATTTCTACTCCAAGTTGAAATGTCTTACCCCAACAGAGGGTTAAAAGAACCTTGCTTATCAATTTGCACACACAGGCACACGAAAAAGCTATAGATAAAGTCGTCCAAATATCAAGTCGATGTACAGTATAAACTTTATTCAAAGAAAAATAAACATGGAAATATAATTACGCTAGAAGTGAAGAACTACTGAGCTAACGCTTATCGGCTAGTTACCCTGTTGAAGCTGCCACCGTCACTAAGCTAGTCTCGGGCGCAGTTATCTCGAGATGATTGCATAATATCGAATATATATATATTATCTGTGGATATATCTATTGAATGTTCTATAAATACGCGAATCTTGTGAAGCGGATGTAACCTAGGAGTGGACTGCTATTGCACAGGAGCTGGAGAATCTTTCGAAGTGATTAGGTTGCTAGTACAGGCCGGAGGGCAGGTCCGTCACCTTGGACATGGATCCCTGGGTGTAGGAGCGGGTACGTGCGGTGGCACCCTTTCCTCCGCTGGGATAGTTTGAGGCTCGTGCATCCGCATGGCCGGATTGCTGGTGAAGTAGATCTGCTGATTGCTGCGCGACTTCTCCCTGCCGATGGCTGCCTCGTTCAGGGCTTCGTGGGCGTGGGAGGAGTGCGAGGATGCGAAGGCCGCTTCCAGGCGTTCGACATTCTTAGTGACCCGGCGGGCTTGCAGGGCAGCCGTGATATCCGGTTTGGGATACTTCTGGGGTGTGTTCATGCCCGTCATAAAGAAGACCCCATTGAATTGCTGAGCTGGCGGCGCTGGAGGTGGCGGGGCTGGGGCTTTAACCTTTGTGGTTTGATGCTGGGGAATCGCTATGATGGGCGCCACATCCTGGACACTCTTTCGCAGGGCTTGCATGGTGGGATCGTGCTCGTCGTGCCGCGCATTCATGATCACATCGAGCAGCTCCCGATTGGTGCTGGCATTGTAGGCCGTGGCCGTGGCATTCGCCTCCGGCATGTCCGGCGAGGGCGAGTCCATCTGATAGGCCGAGGGTTGATCCGTCTCCGGGGCGTCGTAGTCCACCTCATCGAAAAAGGTGTGCATGGCGGCCAGGCGCTCGGCAGCATCGGGATCCCCTGGCTGATGCAGTACCGCCATACCATAGTCGGAGCCATCTTGCTCAGAGCAATCCGTGCGGGGCACAAGGTGAGCCAGGGATCGGGACTTTCTCGGTGGCTGCGGCACTATGTTCACCGGCACAACTCTCCTGCTCCGTGGGCCGAAGCTGTCGCATCCTGGGCCTCGAACTAGTGCCCGCCTGGCTGCTGATCTGCTTCTCCGCCTCGCTCACAATGTTGTCCAGTTCCTCAATGACATCCTCGATGGTGGCTGCATCATCGTCATCCTCCTCCACCGCCGCCGTCTTCCGTGACTGCTTCGCCTTGGAGGGCAGAACGAGAATGGGCACTGGACTGAGTGAGGCACCGGTCTCCGAGCTGCTGATGCCCTCGTCCTCGTGCTCGGAGCTACTCGTTGGCTTCGTCTTGGTGCTGGGCGGTACCTGGCGGGGCAGAGCAACTGGTTGGTGAGCAGACTCCACCGGCTTGAAGTTGGACTGCTGCTGGGCACCCTGCATGCGAAAGATCTCGCGCTGGAGCTCGGCACAGCGCTCCTGCAGCCGCCTCTCCATGGAGGTCAGCACGGCCTTCTCCTCGTGCAGGATCTGAACCCTTCGCTCCAGGATCACCATCTGGCTGCGTACACGCTCCGCATCCCTCGCCTGGGCCATCATCTTGTCCACATCTATGTGAAGTTCGTTGAAGCGTTTGACTTCGCTTTTCAAAGCATCCAGCCAAGGCGAGGAGGAGGAGATGGTACGGGCCAAGGTGCTGGCATCGAGTCCCGCCTGGAAGAGCTCGGCCTGGATGTACAGGCGCTGCTGGATGCTCACGGCGCTTTCAATGAAAGTGTTGAGAAATCTATGGGAAATGGAAAATCTTTGTTATCTTCTCTTGGCCATTATTGGTTGTTTTACTCACTTGACACCCGCACACTGGAGCTCCCCGGATCCACCACCGCTGTTTAGAATTCCAACCAGCAGACGGAAGCGGACTGGCTCACTGCATCTCAGGCGCAACGTGGACATGGCGTCGGAGACGGCTGTGTGACCTGCGGAGGCTATTTTGTGGCTGCCAGTTCCACTGCCAAAAGGCTGCCGGTCGCAGGCGGAGGCCAGAAGCTGTAAGGCCAGAATCCGGGCACGGATGCCCTGTCCCGTGGCCGAGGAGGCCAGAGGCATGAGACCAACGGGAGTATTCCCCAAGCGGGCTATGGCATCCAGAGATCGCGAGCAGCAGATGCTCAGACATTGCCTGTGGAAAGATCAATCGAGGGATTAGTTGGAATCTGTAGAAAGAGACTGTAAAGGGAGCCAACTCACAGGCAAGACAGCTCATCGAGCAGGGCACGACGCTGATAACTCTGGGGATTCCTAGTCATGGCCAGGGAACTGCTGGCTCCTGGCATGGGTGCTGGGGCATTGCTGGCCTGAGCCATTTGAATGGCGCGCAGGACCTCCAACAGGTGGCTAATACCATCCGCAGGAGTGGCCACAAACTCTTGGACAAAGCTGCAGGAAAAAGTAATTATATCTCTGAGGTTTCCTTGTTCGATAAGAAGACTTACCTGCTGAAGGACACTCGAAGATCGGCACGCAACTTGGTGAGCAGATCGGTTATGGAGCCAAATTGGCGCATGGACATCTCCCTTTCGTTTACCGGCGGAGCGGGAATGGGAGATCTGCAGAGTAAAAGAAGGGTTAGGTTAATTTTGTCTACGATTGATTAGTTTCTATAATTCCTACTTGTACTCGGAATGCTTGGCTGGCAGCGTGGCCGATCTGGAGGCCTCCTCCTTAGCACTCATCCCCGTGCTGACATCGTAAATTGATTGCTTTTTGCCCGAGCTGCTGCCCTTGGTGAACTTCCTCAAGGAGTACACATAATCCTCGGGATTGTACACAGGTGGACGTTGATTTTCCTAGATTGGAGATTGGATTTCGTTAGATTTCCACTTCATTAAGATTGCGTTTGACTCACCTTGCTAAACACTGGGGCTTGGGGCCAACTCTGCTCGGAGCCACCTATCTTGTAGGAGGCCAGGGATCCATTGAGGCTGCTGGCCCCGCACTTGTTCGTCCCCGAGCTGTTGGAGCCACCTGCTTTGTGGGGCGTCTGGCTTTGGCTCTGGCTCGGCACCTGACCCTGGCCGGGCAGCTCGCACATGCTGGGAGCCATCTGGAGGCGGTGTCCCGAGCGGAGCTGCTGCTGCTGGTGGTGGTGCTGGTGTCGCTGCAGTGTTGAGCTGTCGCTGCGTTAATTGGAGAGGGAAAAACCAATCGGGTGGAGTCAATTAATGTACGTGCCTGACATGGGAGAACTCGAATTTGCATTCAGCCCGGCCATAAATAAGCTGCGGAGCAGGGGGGCTGGCTATAGGAGTTTTGGGTCGCCACCACGTAACGCACCGGAAAAACAAGCCGTTAAGTTTATTGAACATATTTCTGCGAGTACTTGTATTTGAGCCAAGGCTTATCTGCAGTTGCAGTCGCACACGCAGTCGGAGCTGAAGCTGGAGGGGCGTCTGGACAGGTGCTTTGGATATCCGCTGTCAACGACACCCAAATGGAGACGAGGTGCGAGTATGTGGGCTGTGGGTCCGTTTCCTAGCCACTAACCACCAGCCACTAACCAAGCGATCGAACTTCGATCGATTTTGATCTGTGACTGTCACTGATTTGTTATTTAATTTTGTTGTTTTCTGCTGAATTTGCATTTTAATGTGCTAGAAATAAAGACACTTTCACTGCCCGCCCAGATGAAAGAGACATTCGGTTCCAGCAGTTCCCTCTCGAGGCCCCAAGTACCGTTGGAGCACAATGAGGGGTTAACGGCTCATACATATGAGTGGCTATGCAAATGACGCGGGCATTGTGCGGGGATCGTTGCTTATGATGAGCCTATACGTTTATATGGTTACCTCAGCCTGGTATCGATTCGCCAATCAGTCACGTACCGTAGATGCTCAGGCATTCGGTTCTTTGGTCAGGTGTGCCTGCCCCTCACGCAACTCCAAGTCGGAGTCGAAGTTGAGCGCAGATTGACGGAGGCAGCCACACAGATGCGGTTCCCACAACAGACACAAAAAACACTTCGATCAATGTCAGCCACTAACCGCAGACAGGAGAAACTCAACGGCAGCGATGGGTGTTGAGAGATCACTCAAAACAGAGTCTGCGACTGGGGTTGCAGCACTAAAATCTGCATAAATCAATTTGTGAGACAGAAATTGAAATCGCAAAGCGAAGACTGCTCCACAAACTGGAATTGATAAGCCGTGAAAAAGCCTCCTCCGGGCTAATGGTCTCAACCAGGCGAGTGCTCTCCATTAGTTGCCATATAAGTCGGGCAGACTTTATGATTATTTTTAAACATTCGAGTGTTACTTTTTGAAAGGCACTTATCAATGGAGCAGTAAAAACTTGAGGGGGTATTGGTAGGAGGGGGAGTTTTCCAGTTCCAAGTAAATGTGAAAGACCTTTCAAGATATGTTTTTGATGAAAGAAAGGGAGTTAGCCTCGAGCTGATATTTTTCCTAATAGATAGGAACAAAGACCCATATAATGGCTCCAAGGTCTCTAAAGTCCTTGATAGAATCCCAACTATTCGAACTAAGAACCACAAGTTTTATATGCAGTTAATTTATTCGGGGTCAATATCAGTTTAGAAGCACTCATCGATGGACGGCAACCATCCGCTGCAGTAGTGCCACACGGCCCAGGCGGACCATCCCTGCTGGCTGAGCACCTTCTGGGCGCAACGCACGGAGTTGGTGATGTCGTCGGTCAACAGGGCATTGCAGCTGAGGCCGCACTCGTTGTAGGAGAAACGTCCATCGGCCTGGCACCAGTACAGATCGTTGATCTGGAAAATACCGTAGTCGTTGGATCCATCCCAGTTGGGCGGGCCGACCACCCAGGTGCGGTAGTCGCTCTCATGCTGGGCAATGCAGGTCCACTTGTCCAACTGGTCACGAGGAACACCCAGGTCGGACATCTCGCGGGCCAGGGAGCAGCGGTCCAGGGTGCGGCCAGCCAGAGCGGTGGCGGTGCAGGCGGCCAGAGCCATAAGAACGATGAAAGCCTTCATGTCGATTTGTTTGGTTTTAACAAAACTGTTTGGCTAAATCAGCTCCTGGCCTGCGTATTTATGGGAAATCGGGACGCCCGTTTGGCTGGCCTATCAGCCCTTGAGCTCGTAACACTCAAAGATAGAAATATAATTAAAAAAAAGGCCGCCGCTACTTGGCAGATTTAAATAATTCATTCAAGACCAAAACAACATGAAATAAGACCAAAATAACTTTATCAGGCGGCCGAGTACATCATAATGTCCAATCTCAAAGAGAATAAAAAGAACTTCGTGCTGCGAATGCTGCCTAGTTTTAGGCTGCCGAATAAGGGGAAATTCATACGAAGCTTTCGACTGATAAGCCGCTATCAACCACCTTGAAAATCGAGTGTTAACCAAGATCTCGTCATTGTTCAGAGGTTCAATGAATCGCAGAGAAAGGTACGAGTGGAGCCCCTCCCTGCTGATTAGCATAATTGCTGTTATATCAACAATGACGATGGGCTTAGAAGGGGCCCATTGTGCCATTGAGTTCGAGTAGCCGAAATATAAAATAGAGATAGAGCCCGGGAACCGCCCAAGTGGTAATCCAGATGATTAATGATTAATCACTCTCCCGACCTGGTCGTAAACCAGACCACAACTGGGGGGCTAATAGCTGCAGTCAAGTGGCGCTGTTTCGCCATTAAACCCGCGACTCCACTTCCACTCCACTTCAAAGTCGGACATTAAACTTGGGCCGTGCAAAAGATGGGAATTCGTCTGGGCAGGCGAAGAAAGAGATACTATATCTGCGGGTATATGCATTGCCATTTCCAGACCCGAATGCCTCGGATGCCGCACAATGAATAACTATGAATAATTCGCCCCAACATGCAACCGCACCCGAGTTGCGTGAGCAGAGACCCACCGAGATATGGCGAAGACAATGCCTGCTATATTTTTGAGATAAATATTTCGAATAGCAGCTGGAAGACAGCGAACTGCCAGCGATCACCATCACCAGAGGTATCTTACGCACAATGCTGAGATACAGTTTTGGTGTGGCTTTATTTGATGCGTAGATTATGATCGAGTGCCTCCATATTTGGACGCTAAATATTTCCTTATGTTTTTCTTTAGGAAGCTTCTCGAGTGACCATATCCCTGTGCTACTCTCAATCAACAAAACCAAATAACTTGCTTTAAAAACTACAAAAAAAATTAGCCCAATAATAATAAAGTGAATAAAGAGTTGGCTTTTAGTGTCGCTCGGGAATTGCAAAACTGTCCCCGCCAGTGGACTCCTATTTCTAGCCTTTTTTGGCGGCAGCGAAAAGTGAAATTTTATATAATGGCCCACACATAACAGAGTCATTATGACAGTTGGCCTGGCCAAAGCAAATGAAATCTATTAGCCATTAAAGCGGAGCCTCTATCTTGGCCAGCAGCTGGCAAATGGCTGGCAAACAAGTTAATTTAATTTCCAGGCATAAAACAAATTACGTATGAAAAGTCGCCGTTATCGCTGCATTTATCATGGATGGTACGACGGTATGTATCTCGATCTCCGTCTCCACCTCAAACTCCACACCGTATCTATCCAGTTGAGGCCTCTTAGTGCCAACGGACTTTAGCTTGATTGAAAACAATTTCGATTCAATTACATCTATGGCAGTCGGAGCGACAGAGCAGAGACATGATGTAGGTCTATGGGATTGCCATTTGCGGCTAATCGCCGGAGATCAACTTTGCCATTTAGAGTTCGTTTTGGGCCTTGCCAATTGGCGAAGACCAGGTACGAGTCGGCCTAGAGCCTAATGTATTAATTTGCTGAGCTATTCTCAAGGGTGTCGTCGTCGTCGTCGTCTTTGGGGCGGGTTGAACGGCATTCCAGGAGGTATTTGATCCGAGATCAGAGTCGACCTCAATCCCCAGCCCCCATTTGAATCCCCTCATCAAGCTGAATTCTTCTTCTCGGTGGAAAACCCATTTCGGACAGATCATAAAACCCAAGAAGATGGAATGGACATGGAAATGGGAAAGTTGTTGCCTCGCTTTGAGCCGACACCTTGCCAAATTGTTTCTACGTTACACAAGCTGAGGAATGGGAAATACACCTGATTTGTGTGTTTGCAGAGACACACCACAATAAGCTGGGATCGGATGTGGGCTTTGCTGCCACCTTTGCGACGATGATGCCAGAGATTAAGTCACCGCTGACAGGCAAAAGTTCTCATGGCAGTTCCATTTCTTTAGCCCATTTGAATTTGCATTTGTCCATGGCGAATTTTACCCACACTCGAAACACGAAACACGAAACTCACTCGCAGATAAAACTATTAGGAGAATTTAGCAACCGACAAAGCCGGAGAGAAATGTGGCCACTTTTCAGCTGTCAGAGATCGAGATCTCTCCGAGCGAGATTTCCCAAGGCTGTCAGCTCCCTTGAGCTATCGCCCATTCCCGGCTTTTGTCATCTTTTTGATTGTCGTCGACGGACGACTGTCAAGCTTGACGGCGTTGCGCTTGACTCCAAATTAAAATGGTTGTTGTATCTTTTTTTTTTTTTTGGAAGAGCTTTTCCAACGCTCATTATAGTTTTCACTGGGATTTGTTTTCAACAACAGATTGCAGGGCACCTGCCCGCCCGAGGTTATATATCAGCAGGCCCCAGCTGTCAAATAATATAATTAGGGTTTGTCTCGCTGAAACTATATCGCAGCGGGGCGTGGGGCACAAGAGTTTTCGGTGCTTAAAGTCTCTGGAGCTTGCCTTTTGACACAGTTGCGTTTTGGAGCTGCTGCCAGAGACAGAGAAATGTTTATAATTTGTGAGTCGAATCGGTGGCAGGTAATTGATGCCGAAAGTGGCTCGGCCTCAAAAGGGGGGCCAGTGTCACCGTTGGCCTGTCGCCGACAATGGCTGAACTGCTAAAGATCATGTCAAGTTAACCGCGTGGAAAACTGGAAGAATGGGTAATGCGATCATCTCGGGATTGTGCAAGTTCAGCCAGGGCCTGAGCATCCACAGAGAAGACTTACCCCTCGTACTTAAAGATAACGTCATATCTCTGGTAATGCGATCCTGTCCTGCTCTCGCCTAGAACATTCCGTCGTCACACACTGTTGACTCCACCGAATAGGAAAGCCAACTGCTTTGAGACTTTGATTTCGGCCATTTTCCTCGAGAGTCTCGAGGAACTCGTGCGAGCTGATAAAATTGAAAAGCTGATAGAGGTAAACCCCCTCGACTATCGACTTGTAGAACTTGGGGCATCAGTTCCGATAGGCCAAGTGGCAAATCGTCTGAAGATATGTCGGCTTGAGAGGGCACCATTGATAATTTAATTACGAGCCTTAATCTTAATGAAAATCACATGAATTGCGGAATTTTCAGGTTATTTAAAAGCTTATTTCCAGTTTTGTTTTTGAGTGTTTTTTTGAGAACTCCTTTGTAATTTCCTTTTTAAGGCAATAATTTCTTTTAAAATATTCTCTATTAATGTAATTTGTGTCTTAAAAGCTTTTTAGAATACTTTTTTGCTAGCTAAGGTTTTATCTATAGCTTCTATATATACGAAAAATCTAGTTACAGAACTATAAATACCGTTTTTCATAAGAAAATATTTTTTTTAAGAATTCATTTGACTTGGAACTTTGTTCATCTAAGATTCCACATTTTCTTTACCATCTAAACTTCCTCTTTCGCACTTCCTTGAAAGTAGTTATTAAATTCTCAGTATTTTTTTCCTAACTTTATTCACCAGTAACCTGTTTCCCAGGCACCCTTCTCCCTGTTCCTTTCTTCCATCTGTCAGCTGCTACTCCTCAGACTCAGACCAATTAGATGGGCCACAAACCGAGTGTAAAGCCCATTGCGGTAAGTCGGCTCCCGAGTGGAATTGTTATCTGTGGACCATCATAACTTAACGCTCGACTGACTTCCCCCGACGTCAGCAATTGTCTTAGCCTGACCCACGCAATGTCGCTCCAGAGGGCGCCGAACCTCTCAACCTTAGGGCAATTACTTATGCACTTCCATTTCCAGTCGACTTTCCGACTTGTGCTAATGTGCTCAGATTATAGGAAACACTCCGGCTGGGGGCACTAGTGGCAACAGCTCTCCGATCTACGATCCGCGAGCCCCATCTCCATCTTCATCTCCACCTCCGTCCCCAGGAATGGTATAATTTTCCGGTCTTTGATTTCCTGCTTTGTTTTAGCCTGTTCCTCAGACGAGGGTCTTTGTCTATGCGTTTCCACTTCCTTTGGACGGGCTGTGGGTTCCCGTTCCCGTTCTGAGACTCTGAGTCGGTGCCCAGTTTACCTTCGTTTATCACCAGCTACTCTTAGAACAAGAGAGCCGGACGACTACTTGTATAATTTATTGCCCACTGCGTTGGCCACATTAAGAATTCATTGACCGGTCCCAGTCAAAGTCATCGGCCTGTGGCCACCATTCTAGAAGGGAAGCTGTTCCCAGCTGTTTCCACTCTTTCTCTTTGGTTTTCTCCCATTTAGAAAGTGTGTGAGAAAGGTAATAATTGAAGAACCATACAGGCCAATGAAAATGATCAGAAGTGTAGACTTTGAAAGAGGAAAAATTGATTACATATCGTTGAGAATGATCAAGTATTCCCAAATTAACAATAAAATATGATAAAGAAGTATATTCCCAAACAAAACATTCAAAATTTAGTTTAAGGTGAAGTTTATTAAGCGAGCTTAGAAGCAGCTGTCGATGGACGGGAGCCATCCGCTGCAGTAGTGCCAGGTAGACCAGGCGGACCATCCCTGCTGGCTGAGCACCTTCTGGGCACAACGCACGGAGTGGGTGATGTCGTCGGTCAACAGGGCATTGCAGCTCAGGCCACACTCGTTGTAGGAGAAGCGTCCAGAGGGGGGAGAGCACCAGTAGTAGTCGTTGATCTGGAAGATGCCGTAGTCGTTCGAGCCGTTGTAGTTGGTGGGTCCAACCACGTGGGTGCGGTAGGAGCTCTCGTGCTCAGCAATGCAAGTCCAGCGAGCCAGCTGGTCACGAGGAACGCCCAG